TCAAAGCAGGTGTATCTGCTGTAAGAGGGACTGGGCTCCCGCACAGGTCGGGCTAGTGTGAGAAGCGTTCCAGTGCTGGTCAGGCGTGATGCTGGACTAGCGCGTTGGCTGGGGCGGGGATACTGGGTTCCAGTGACTCTCTCTCTCATCTTTCCAGCGAAAGCGTTTGGCCTCAGAACTTGCCTTCTCAAACTCTCTGACACTGTTTCCCCACATCAGTTCTTACTTCTTGCCTTGTTGCCAGAGAAACCAGCCAAAGAAGGAAACTTATATGCTCTCTAGGGAGGGAGGACCCGTTTGTGTGCAGAGGAGCCTAGACTTCTGGGCGTATCAGGGCAAAGCAGCACTTTTCTCTGGCAGCTCTGGGGCATCCTTGGCAGGCAACCCAGGGAGGTGGAATGGACACCCACTCGAGAGGCAGAACTCACAGGTTCTTTAGTCTGGACGTCATCTTGAGCCAGCCTTGTGACTTTGGACAAGTCACTAAACATCTCCAGACCCCAGTGTCCCCACATATAAAAAAAATGAGATGAGAGTATCAGCGTCACAGGATTTTTGTGAGTATTCTTTCACTGACTAAGCAAATATGTGCCGAGAGCCTGCGTGCCAGGCACTGTGCAGGTGCTGGGGCTGTCGGCCTTTGCTTTCAATGTATTTCTGATCTGTGGGAGGAATGGATGTGAGATAGGCAAAAACAATAGTGTTTGCTGAGTGAGCACAGAGTGCTACAGTAGGGGTGAGGAGAGAGAGAGATGAGTCACAAGAGGGACACCCAACCCCGTCTTGGATGGTTAGGGCAGGCTGCCTGGAGGAGGCCACAACTGAAGTGAGAACTGGCCAGTGGAATAAATTGGCAGGGAAAGGGGTACAGAGACCCAAGAGGGCATTACCCATCAATTCAGAACGGCTGGAATGGAGAGAAAGAGGAAGAGCAGTCAGGGTCAGGGGCATGGGCAGTGGTGGGTTTGATGGGTGTGGGCCTGGAGATTTAGGCAGGGGTGGTGCTGAGAGGTTCAGACATTGTCCTGGGGCAATGTGGAGCCATTGAATACCTTTAGTGAAGGGGTGACAAAATCAGATTTGTGCCATAGAAAGATGCTTGAGTTGCAGTGTGTAAATTGAATTAGAGGGTATGCTGGATATTTTCCATCTGCCCCTCCAGACCCACTTGCTGCCTTCTCCATCCCGCTCTGTGGTCTAGTAGCCTGGCACGTTTGGGGCTGCAACAGCAGGCTTCTCTGCCCTATGATTTCCAGGCACGTTCAGCCCATAGGAGGCAGGAGCAGGAGATGGGAGGGTAGAAGGAGAGAGAAACTGGGGTATCTGTTCCCCAGCTCCCTCCCTGCCGTGCCTCAGAGAGGCACTGGCTGTTTTCCCTGCTGAGCCACGGATCCTGCCTGGCCGACCTTTCTCCCTGCTGTGGCTCTCTCTCTAGGGTATATACGGTGTCAGCTCCTTTTAGGTCCAGCCACCCAAGGCTCCCCACTGTTGCTAGCCCCAGGGTACCTCTCCATCCCTTGCTGGTTGCTGATGACCCTGCCAAGAACCTCTGTGAGTAGGGATTCTTCAAGGACCCCATGGCAGTATGCCATCTGTGGTACCTCGACCCAGTACAGGGGGTTATGGCTGGAGCAGTGTGATGTGAGGCCATTGTATCCATCCAGGCCACGGTGACAGTGGGGAAGTGGCAGAAGGGACTCCAAAGATAGTTGCAAGATAGAAACAATAGGACTTACATGTAGGGGTGAGGGAGGGAAAGCTATGGTTGACTTCTGTGGCTTCTGTACCTGGGAGGATGGTGGTGGTATTCACTGAAACGCCGGAAGGGCTGGGGTACGTAGGTTTGGGATAGAAGGAGATACTCAGAGGCTTTCAGATGGGAATACTCAGTAGGCACTTGGGTATACAAATCTATGGTTCAGAAGAGGAATCTGGGCTGGAGATTCATTAGCATAGAGATGGCAAATGCTGTAAAAGAAAGTCTAATGACCCAGGCAGAACATGCAGAGTGAGCAGAGAAGGAAGGCGAGGCAGCCGCCCCCGGGAAGAGACACTTGGAAGGGCCGGGCTGCTGCAGTGGAGGCTGAGAGCCCACCGTCGGGGGCAGCAGAAGCAGAGGTAGGAAGTCTGGAAACTGAGCACCTGTTCAACTGAGATTCTTCCAAGTGTATGAAAGATGATGTGGTCAGCAGCCTCATTGTCCCATCCAAGTCTCTTCTCCGGACAGAGACCTTTTCCTTTATTGAAGCCCCTCAGAGTCATGGGAGCACAACATAGTCTTAAATTCCATAAATATGGGTTGAATGTTTTGTATACTCAAGTCTCAGAAACGCCTCTAAAATCAGGTGGCTTCTGAGAGCTCGTGATGTGCAGGGCCCACGTCTCCTATTGCAGTTGTGGTAAAATGAACATAACATGAAGTTTGCCACCTTTGTCATTTTTAAGGGTACAGTTCAGTGGTGGTAAGTATGTTCGCATTGTTGTATAATAGATCTCCAGAATTCCTTTCATTTCTGCAAAACAGAAATTTTGTACCCATTAAACAATAACCCTCTCTCTCGCTAGCCCTTGGAAAGCACCATTTTACCTTCTGTTTCTGTGAATTTGACTACAGGCAGACCTCGGAGATGCTGCTGGTTTGGTTCCAGACCACTGCCGTAAAGCAAGTCACATAAATCTTTTGGTTTCCTGGTACATATAAAACTTACTTTTACACTGTACTGTAGTCTTAAAAAAGCAATGTACACACCTTAATTTAAAAATACTTTATCGCTAAAAAATGCTGACCATCATCTGAGCCTTCAGCGAGTTGTAGTAGTGACATCAAAGTTCACTGACCCCAGATCACTGTAACAAATACAATAATAATGAAAAAGTTAAAAATAGGGAGAGAATTACCAAGATGTGACACAGAGACTGGAAGTGAGCAAATGCTGTTGAAAAAATGGTGCCAGTAGACTTGCTCAATGCAGGGTTGTCCTAGACCTTTAATTTGCAAAAACACAATAAAGATCAATAAAGCAAGGTCTGGTTAAATTCTAGGCAGCTCCTGTGAGTGGAATCGTGTAGTATTTGTGCTCTGTGACTGGCTTATATTTCACAAAGCACAGTATCCTCAAAGTTCATTCATGTCGTCGCATCAAAATTTCCTTTCCTTAAAAACCTGAACAGTGTTTCTTTGTATGGACAGACCACATTTTGTTTTTTTAATTCATCTGTTGATGGATACTTGGGTCGCTTCCACCTTTTGGTTGTTGTGAATAACGGTGCTATGAACATGGGTGTACAGCTATCTGTGAGAGTTCCTGTTTTCAACTCTTTGGGGTTTATACCCAGAAGTGGAGTGTCATGGAATTTCTTGCATTTAACACAATACTAGCTTATCTTTAAAAATCCCAGTGGTTGAAGAATAAGGAATGGAGGGGTTTTAAATTATATTTTTAATTTCCGACACCCATTACTTCTTTCCCACCGTGTCACTTGGCACCTCTGAAACCTACAAGAGGCTTGCATGAGGGAATTCTGCAGTATTGGAATATTCCTCTGGAATATTTCTCTGCTCACCCAGGCGTGTATCTCCTTACTCATGGCCTGAGTTGGTGGCTGACTAGCGTAACGTCAGGGTTCTTGTCTGCTGTAGTGTGAGTCGGGATTCCTTCCTTTTTAAGGTTGCGTGTCTGCCTCCTGTTTTACCTCGTAGGGTGTTTCTCCATTTCCAAAGGCCTTTCATACCCATTCTCCCTTTCAGTCTCATTTTCCCCCCATCGCAGCCAGGGAGCGATTACCCCTCCCGGGTTGCAGCTGAGGAAACAAGCCGCACGGCCTCAGGACCACCCAGAGAGCAGAGGCCTAGGACCGGGGCGCAGGCTTTCCCTTCTGGTCCGTGGAGCTTGCCTGGAGCACAGCTGATGTGCAGAGCCCTCTGGTGATGCTCTGCAGAGAGGCTCTGGAGGAAGCCAGGGGACAGGAGACCTCCTGCGAGAGAGAAGAGGTCCAGTGACAAGACAGAAGTGGAGAAAAGGCCCAGGGCAGAGGACCCGGCAGCAAGCCCACTGTGGCCCCAGCCCAGCAGTCAGCCTCCTCTGCTTTCCTCTGGGACATAGGCTGCAGGCAGATTTGTCAGGCCAGCCCTAGGAGCGGGGTGACCAGCTAGCCCTAGCAAGGTGACTCCTCAAATTTAACAGTCAGCGATGAGAGCAGCCAGGCAGCAGAGGGTGGGGAGTCGGGGCATGGAGCACGCCGCCCTGGCTGGCTGCGGGCACGCTGCCTCACAGCGCTGTCCCTGGTGTGAGCAGCTCCCTAAGTAAACCCAGTGACCTCCCGTCCGTGGGACAGTGCTGTGTGGGGCATCTCGTTGGGGTCGGTGGGGATTACCTTTGAAGCTGGAGCCGTCATCTGTCTCTCGGCGCTCACGCCCAGACCATCAGACAGTCCTGGGTAAGAACGGACCTTCTGCACCCTGGAGAACGCGCCCATCAGGAGCGCTCCTGGCGGTCAGACTTACAAGCAGAAGTGCATAAACCCCGGGGCTGGCAAGTCAACCCGGGTCTCTGGGACCTGGGCTCGGCCAGTGGAGGAAGTGAGCAGGGGGTCGCTGCCTCTGGGTTCCCCTGGAAACTGCTTCACAGATCACGCTGCTCAGGCCTCCCGTTCAGAGACTGTTCCAGAACATTTGCTATTTGTCATGGTTAGGAGGTGGGTTATCCTGGTTAATCATGTCTTCTGGTTATAGGTGAGTTATTAGTTATCATTCATGGAGCACAACATGTCAAAAAGGATTAGAACGCTACAAAATGCTCTGAACAGTGAATTACACAGAACATAATCCAATCTATCTTTTAAAATACTGACGCCACTTTTATTTCGTTAGGAACGTGATTATGAACCCCACGGACCAAAGAACTGGTAAAACATGCAAATGCTAGTTAAGAGAATGCTGGACAAACAGCTTCTCCTGAACTTCCCACATCTTGATTCTGTCATCTATGAATGTTCTTAAAGGGAGCTGAGTTTGTTTGAAGACGATTAAGATTCAATGAGCAAATAGAAGAGGCAACTTAGACCAACTCCACATCCAACACAGAATTCCCCTCTAAATTTCCTGACCATTTTTTTTTTCCTGCCTTTTCTCAAGAATCCTTGGTACCAAGGATTCTTCCCAGTTTCCTTCCAGCTAAGCCTGTCACCTCCATTTCCTGCAAACTTCCTCAAATGTTTGCAGGTCATCCTTTGAATATTCACTTGTTTGGGGGGCTCCAGAGAGAACTGTAACAGTAGATGCGGTGAGTCCGGTACCAAGTGCCTCAGGACCACCACCTGCTCCTCCTGCGCTGCTTACTTCCGTGGTAGTGCCTAGGAGCTCTGGCTCTCTCCAGGGTCATTCTCCCTGGGTCTGAGTCCTGGCCCTGCCACTTCTTACTTGGTGACAACAAAGAACCTCTTGGCAACAAAGAACCTCTCATGCTATTAAAGGGGGGAAATCGTGCTGTCAGCGTCACAGCCTGCCAGGTTTATGGCAGTTGAGATCATGCATACATAGTAAATACATTGACCTGCAACGTACTGAATACTCAGTAAACATACCAGCTTGGAGGACAGTGATCAGGGACACAGATGATGAAGTCTGAGTGGCTGGGTTCACATTCCAGCTCAGGTTCAAATTTTGACTCCCATCACCTCCAAACAGCCTTGGGTGAGTAGCTAAAACTCTGTGTGCCTCAATTTTCTTACCTGAAAAAGGGAGGTCTAAGGTTTCTGTGAGGTTTAAATGAGATATTATACGTAAGGTGCTTGGAACAGACCCTGGAAAGTAAAAAGGGCCATATAAGTGAGAGCCATAGTTATTATTATAGCTTGAAAAGTCATCTTATCTTTAAAAGGAGTCACATCGGAGGCTGGCCCATGCTGGAGCCATGGGCACCAACACGCCGGTTCCCGCAGCCCTCACCACCTGATGGTCTGTGCGTCACCTGTTCTCGCTGCTTGCATTTTTGTATCTCAGACTGCTCCCTTAGCAGGGCATCGTGAAGATGGCAAGTGCTTCAAGAATCCCGGGTCTTTGTGCTCACATCTCTCTCTCCTCTGAACTATTTGAAGTCTGCTTTCTTAGTTTCTGGATAGCTTAACTACATAAGTTCTCTCCATCTTTGGCTTGAGGATTGCCTCGTCCAAAAACTGCTTGGATCCTTGAGGGAGAACCAACCTCCCACCACACTGTACCCACCCCTAGTGGGTGGGAGGCACTGCATGGCCCAAGTGTGTTCAATATCCCTGTTCAATATCCCTTACTCCCTGTGAGCCTGTAAGGCCTTCAAGACAGGGCTGTGCTAATTGATTTTCCTATATTTATTGGGTTCGGGCACCGTTAAGAGTAATGCCCAGCTGCTTCATGCTCTTGTCCCGCTGCCAGTTGGCAAGAAATTCTTCCCTTTTTAGAAGCACTTAGCGCAGGGTAGGTGCTTAAAGATGTTTCTGGAGTAAATGCGATGTTAACCTGGCCCAGCAGCCCCGTCTGTGAGAAAAAGGATAATGTGGAGAACCTTGTTTAAACTGCAGAGTATTTCCAAATGGTTATTACCATTGCTTCTAAAGCAGCAAAATTACTTTTCCAAGACCTTTGTTTCTATTTCCCAGTGGGCATGTCTCTAAAGAAAAATGAGAATTAAGGCTGGAAGAGAAAATATCCTTCTTTATTTTTCTATCTTATTACAGTTTAGAGATTCAGTTATTTACTAAAATAAAATACAAACTTGTACTTTGTTTTTAATAAAATGAGACTTACACCAGATGTACAGAGAGTTAAGAGATTTCCATTGCTCCTAAATATTGCCTTTAGGCCAGTTTTATCACTAAAGGAAAGCACTGAGTTATTTCTTCCCATTGTTATCCCTTCTTCCAGTTCCCACCTCCAGCTTCTCCACGTGATTATTTTAGCCTGATTTTTATGTGCAATGGAAATGTTAAGCAAAGGCACCACAAACAAAATCAAGAGCAGACAACTGGGGAAAAAAAATCATCAAGTTGTATTATAGACAAAATATAAGTATCGTTAAGTTAGTAAGACAAAGGCATAACTCCAGTATAGAAATGGGCAAAAAATTGGAACAGGCAGTTCACAGATGAAGAAATACAAATGTTCCATATGTATTTAAAGACTGCTTATCACTAGTAATCAAAGAAATTAAAATGTAAAATGTAATATGATTTTTTTTCCAACCATCAGATTGACAAAATTGAAGAGAATAAAAATCACCAATATTACCCTGGAGTTGTGGAAACAGAGATAGATAAAGGGAAGGTAAATGTGTGTAAGCCTTATGGAGCAATTTAGCCATTTTCACTGAGAACTTAAAAATATTCATACTGATAATTATAATCACTTTCAAAATGTATTCCTAGGGAATAAAACTGGCAGTTGTACAGAGATGTATGTAGGAGGACAGCCATTGTAGCATTTGGTAATAGCAAAAAAAAAGTCTGAAGCAACATAAATTTCCATCAACGAGAGATCAGATAAATCAATGGTGAAACAGTCGCACAGTAGAGTAGTGTGCATGCATTAAAAAGGATGAGATGGAGGTTTGGGTCCACAACATACACTTAAGAGAAAATAGCATGGTATGATGCAGTGTGATGCATCCTTATTTTATAAGAAAAATAGAAAAATTAACTGAGAATACATTTATTTTCTGATGTATACATTTCTGTACTTTTTTTTTGATATTTTAACATACATGTATTTAACAAAAAGCACTTGTATCTGAATCTTTGATGGGTACTGGGGAATGACTCAGAGCTGGCAGAGTGCAGTAATCTCTCCGGTACTTCATGTTTCAAAAGCTTT